GGTTTACAAGTTCCTTAAAAACCTATTTGCGGCTCCCTACTTTCCTAGTCCCTAATCTTATAATGTCAATTCCCACTTCCTAAGAGTGTCAAGCATATTCACCACATGCATATTCACTACATGCTTAGGTAGGCGCACTTCAAATGATGCCTACAATATGTTATTGAAGAAAGACTTGATTGAACATATATGGTGTCGCTTTGGTAATGAATGATGGTAACTAGTAATCGGAGAAAGCTTTTTATTTTTAACGATATTTTCGTTGTTATATTTTTTCATATTAGTTGTAACGTACTATAATTAATCCAATAATTTGATTGTAACATTGTTGTTTTAATATATATAATAATGGAAAAACTGTTATTATTAAAGTCCCAACTTTGGGCTATTTACTTTAATTAATCCCAACTATCGATTATTCCTAAATAATCCCAACTTTGGGGGGCATTTTCTTTCGTCAGGCCCAAACCGGTCAACAAAAGTCAATGACCTGTTATACCAGGTTATTGATCACGTGTGTCAACAAGTGATTTGTCCAAAAAAATAAAAATAAATAAATAAAGTTTTTTTAAAAAAATAATTTTTTTTTTAAAAAAAAAACCACCCCTCACCTTCCTCCCCCTTCCCTATGTTGGAAACACTCCCACCGGAACACCTCTCCCTTTCCCCGCTTATCGGAACCAAGCCCCATCGTTCCCCTGACCCTGAACAGCCGACCGGCGTTCCCGCTCCCTTCCTCCATCCCGTAAAACGCCCCTCATCTCCCCCCTACCGAAAAACGAACGTTTCCCCTTTGTCCTGCTAGAAACAACCCAGGGTTCTGGATCTGGCGCCCAATTGCTCCACGGCGGCGTCAACATAGATGTCATGGCTCTCGAACGCATCCCGAAGAAGCCCGCATGGCCGAAGAAGCCGGCGCTACACCGTCATGGTCCTCAAACGCGTCCCTGTCGACATCCACGCTCAAGGCGACATCACCCGTATTGTAACACCCTAGAAATTCATTTCCTTTAAAATACCTGTTTTACTCTTTTTTAAATAGGAAATAGGAAAATTTAAGACATTACCGCCACTATGATAACGACTAAGGAAATTATCAAAGACAAATAGCGAAAGACTCACTTTAAAACCATTCAAAACAAGTCAACTTAAAAGTCAAACCAAACGAAAGTAAAGTCAAATGAAGTCAACCTACAACTTGGAACCATTGTAAGTGAAAGGAATGGTGTCCTTCCAACAAGTGTATTATTCTGATAGAGGGATCGGAATTATTAGAAAGCTATTTCTTCAGTGAGGTCAAGTGATCGGAATGCCTAGGTGGAGGCCGCTTCCGATCAGTAATATTAATGCATAATTGATATTACGACCTAATCTTGAGTGAACCCTTCGGGTCGCACCTCAAATGAATAACCGATCCGAATCGACGAATCAATCCAAAGGATTAGATGAGTCATTAGAGTATTATGAACAAAGACGTCGGATATCGGGCTTAGAGCGTCGAGACCGAGCGTCGCAAGTCAAGTCGAATTTAGAATTCGACGAGACATAGAATCAAGCAAGCGACAAGTTCGAGCCAAGCCGTAGTCTCGCATTGGCCCAGCCATGCGAGTGTTAGGCTAGGCGAGGTCACCATCCCATGCGTTCCTAGCATCTCCTAGTGATGAGTGACATTTATGTCGCTCTTAGGACAGTCTTTTCTAGTAGTTTTAGTAATAATTCGGTCCATTTTAGTATGTTTTGCTATGATCCGCCTAGTTCGAGTATTCTACCTTTGTGGCGCGTAATGTGTACTCATATGGCTTAGGTAGTCTATGCTCCCCTCCCCTTTTGTTGTATTACACCTTGCTTTCCTGTTTTATGATTGCAGGTGTATGCCGTTGATTCGGAGATGGAAGAAACAAGGGCAAAACGGGAAGAAATCCAGACCAGGCAAATGGCGCGGGCGCGCACCCCTTGAGCGCGGGCGCGTTGATGAGCTGGACCAACCATTAAATACCCACATTGGAGCGGGCGCGCATTTCTAGAAGCGACCGCGCCACCATTTAAAGCGCGGGCGCGCCATTGTTAGGCGCGGGCGCGCCTGTCTTTTGCTGATTCAAATCCCGGTTTCAGCCTAAATTAACAAAGGAGGGGAGGAAAAACGGCTAACTAGGGAGAACATTCTATCATAGGGATATTTTTTTAGCATAGAAACCTTAGAGGAGAGCTTTTAAGGAATTTTTCTAGGTTTTTGTTTTAGCCACTTTTGTATTGAACAATCTTGATAGTTTTTAGTGTAATTTTCATTGTCTATCAACATTAGGTTTACTCTTAGTTTTTGAAGAAGTAATTTTGCAACATTGATGTATGGTCAAGCTTGGAGATTGAATGATGTATGGCTCTTTATTTGGATTTCAATGAAGGTTTTGGTATATTTCTCTATTTTCTCTTGTTTTTATGATTAAAGTTTCTACCTTTGTTAGTTTAGTTGATAAAAACTTTGTCTTTCTTACTATTTCATTGGTTGTAATGTTGCTTAGTATGATTGTAGTTGTAGTTATGACTAGTGAGTAGTTTCTTGTTGCTAGGGGTTTGGTGAAGATATGCTTTGAGTTTGATGTATGCTAGGCTAGGTTAATTTGGAATATTTGTGATTAAATCTTCCTTGTGCTTATACTTATTAGCCATTCCATGTTTATGGCCATATGCATGTTGTGGTTGAATGACGTGAACTAAATCGTGACGATAGTGCGACTTAGGAATAGTCATTAGGTGATTGATTATTGCATGACCTTAGCTTGTATGCCTTACGACGATAGTGTGAGTGTATGCTAGCTAGGAAAGCTCTTAATCCCGATAGGTGATTAGAGAGTATTCTTGATATTGCCTTGTATGAGTTGCTTGGGTTACATGTAAACCTATTTTCCGATGCCCAACTTCGTTGAATTCATAGCATGTTTGATCCTTCCCCCTAGTGCTTGTTTTAATTGTTATTCTATCCCCTTTAGTCATTACTTTACCCACCATACTTCTTGATCGAATTAGATTAACATTAGGAGATAAATAGCGGTGCTTAATCGTTTCCCTGTGTTCGACCCTTAACTTGCCTCTATACTCTTTTAGTTGCATGTTTAGGACTACAAATATCATTTGATAGAGGTGTCTTAGTAACGACCTAAAATACCGCCTGTCAAATTGGCGCCGTTGCTGGGGAAACGGTTTCCATTGTGTGTTTATTTTCTTGTTGAGACTAGTTCTTTTCTATTCTTTTGTTTTTCCGTATCTTGTCAGTGCTCACTTTCTGCTTAGCTTTGTATATGAATAGGAGGCTTAATTGCTCTAGGCCTTTTGTGTCCATAGACCTCGAGCTAGAGCGTACTCTAGCCCAATTGAGGAGACAAGCAAGGGAGAGAGGTGAAGACCCACTTCAAGAGGAAGTGAGAAGTTCCCCTACCCCATCTTCACCCACTTCAAGTGAGGAGAGCGAACCATCCACAGGCTCAATTCCCAACCCATTTTCCCAATACCATAATCAACAAAGCATGGCTGATCAAGGAAACATGGGTGATAAAAGGTCACTAAAGCAACTTGGAGCACCCGAACCTTATGCCTCTCTAAGTGGGATCTTAGCCCCCACCACTCAAGCAAACAATTTCGAGATAAAGCCTAATTTCATTTCAATGATAGAGAAGAGGCAATTTACCGGTGGGAAATTTGAGAATCCCCATGAGCATCTCAAAGAGTTTCTCAAGTATTGTCACCCTATCAAGATCAACGGAGTCTCCCAAGAGTACATAAGATTGAAGATGTTCCCGTTCTCACTCATGGGAGCAGCGGAACATTGGTTGAACAAGGATGTTCCCCCCGGTTCCCTCACGACTTGGAATGAGGTAACTTCGTCGTTCCTAGGAAGGTTTTACAATCACAAGAAAACCGCCGAGGCTCGCTCAAAGATTCAAAGTTTCCGCCAAAGAGGTGGAGAGTCTCTTTGTGAGGCATGGGAGAGATTCAAAGAGTTACAAAAGCAATGCCCACACCATGGGATTCCTAATTGGCAAGTCCTCCAAACATTCTACGGAGGACTCTCCCCTCAAAGCAAGACTAGCCTTGATGCCGGAGCCGGAGGCCCAATCATGAACAAAAGGGAAGATGAAGTGGAGAGCATCATAGAAGATGTTGTGAGCAATTATGAGGATTGGTACGAAGGTGAGAGGGAAGCCACTTCTAGCAAAGGAACGGTATAATCCGTCGAGCAAACCAATGCCATCACAAATCTTTCCAACCAAATGGCAAAGATGGCGAAACAAATGGAGGAGTTCATGAAATCAAGTTCTCAAAATACTTCCTCCCCTTCTCCCAAGGGAGGCCATGGTATGAATCCTTCTACTTCTTCTCCCTCTAATTACAATGCCATGCCTCCCGGTTGTATGTTTTGTGATATATGTGGAGGCTATGATCATAATTCTCAACAATGTATGTCCATAAGTGAAGGTCCCCCTCCCCATGAAAATGATGATAATGTTGAAGATGTTAATGCCATGAATTTTGTGCCCCGTGAAGGAAATAATGGAATGCAGCCAAATTGGAATCAAAACCTAAACCGTGGTTGGAATCAAAACCAAGGTTGGAATCAAAATCAATGAAATCAAAGTGGTGGTGGTTATGATAACCAATGCCAAGGTAGGGGAAACTCTTCCAATTACAATGGAAGAAGCTACTCAAACCAAAGGCCCAATTGGAATCAAAACCAACAACACTATTCCAACAACCAACAACGTTTTAATTCCAATCAGGGTTCCGGGGGTAATAGACCTCAAAATGCTTCTACTTTCTTACAAAATAGTAGACCCCCCGGTTTTGACCAAGTAAGGCCCCATTCTCAAATTCCCCCTACTCAACCCCTCCAAATAGAAGCCCTTCCGGATCCTATGATGACTATGCTTCAAAATTTCATAAAAAATCAAGAAAACCATAATAAGAGTCAAGAGGAAGAAAAGAAACAAATCAAGGCACACATGAAAATGCTGGAGACCCAAATCTCTCAAATTGCCCAATCAAGTTCTTCATCCTCCCCTTCTTCATCTTCTTCTTTACCTAGCCAAGGTGTCAACCCCAAGTCTATGTATGCCATTACTACTAGAAGTGGGAAGATCCTTGAGAGTGATCTAAATGTTGAGAAGAGTCCCGATGTGAGGATAGGACTTGAGGTTGAGGATGAGTCATCAAGAGAGAATGAGATTCTAGAGGGAAGTGCCGGAAAGAATGAGAGGGGTGAGAAAGAGAAAGAGAAGGAATCCGAAAAGGAGAGCACCAAAGATCAAACATCTTTACCCCTTAATCACCAACCTAGGTGAGAGGTTGCCATTTCCACAAAGATTTGCTAGGTCTAGGATTGATGTCCAATTCGGAAAATTTTTAGATGTAGTAAAGAGCTTGCATGTTTCTATACCCTTTGTGGATGCTATGAAAGAATGCCTCACTACTCTAAATTCCTAAAAGACCTTTTGAATGGAATGAGAGAAGTTGAAATTGTTAACCTAACTGCAAATTGTAGTGCTATTCTCTCTAGTAAGCTACCAACCAAATTGCAAGATCCCGGTAGTTTTTCCATCCCTTGTTCCATCAATGAGATTCATTTGGGGAAGGCTTTGTGTGATCTAGGTGCTAGCGTGAGCTTAATTCCCTTTTCGGTCTACCAAAAGCTTAATGTGGGAAACCTTTCACCTACAAACATCACCCTCCAACTAGCGGATAGGTCCACAAAATTGCCTATAGGGAAAGTTGAAGACATACCCTTTAGAGTTGGTAAGTTCACTTTTCCGGTGGACTTTTATGTTCTTGAGATGGATGAAAATGAAAGAATTCCTATAATTTTGGGTAGGCCATTCCTAGCTACTTCTAAAGCAATTATTGATGTCAAAGAAGGTAAGATGACCTTGAAGTTTGACGATGATTCTATCGAATTTGATTTGAATAAGGTAATGAGACAACCTTCCTCTAGCAATGAATGCTTTAGAATAGATACAATTGAAAACTTGATGAATGAGTTTAGATACCCTCATATGCATGCTTCTAATGATCTACTTGAGAATGTTTTGTTGAATGAGAATGAGGTAGGTGATCAAAAGGACATGCAATTATATGAGGAAATGCTTGATGAGAAAGAGGAGACAACCCCCGACCAAGAGATGCTCCAAACATATTAAGTCTTCCAAGTAGAAGAGGAGGAAATCTACAATGGTAAGGGAGCTCCGAAGGTAGAATTGAAACCACTACCTTCGAGCTTGAGGTATGTCTTTTTGGATGCTAATGATACTTTTCCGGTCATTGTCAATGCTAACCTCACGGAAGAGCAAACCTCCTCATTGCTTAGTGTTTTAAAAAAGCATAGGAAGGCTTTGGGTTATACTCTTGATGATCTAAAGGGTATAAGGCCCTCCCTATGCATGCATAAAATCGATTTAGAGGAGGGTGCTAAGCCATGTAGGCAACGGCAAAGGAAGCTTAATCCTTCCATGCAAGAGGTTGTGAGGAAAGAGGTTTCCAAGCTACTTGAAGCAAGGATCATCTATCCAATTGCTCATAGTGATTGGGTATCCCCGGTTCAAGTAGTGCCGAAAAAGGGAGGTATGACAGTAATGGTCAATGATAAGCAACAATTGGTCCCAACCCGGCTTGTTACGGGTTGGCGTATGTGTATTGATTACCACCAATTAAATGCCAACACTTCCAAAGACCATTTTCCATTACCGTTCGTCGATCAAATGCTTGAGAGGCTTACAAAGTATGCTTTTTATTGCTTTCTTGATGGCTATTCGGGATTCTTCCAAATCCCAATTGACCCAAAAGATCAAGAAAAGACCACTTTCACTTGTCCCTACGGTACTTTTGCTTACCGTAGGATGCCTTTTGGTCTTTGTAATGCCCCAGCTAACTTCCAAAGATGCATGATGTCAATTTTCAGTGAAATGATCGAGGAAGAAATGGAAGTTTTTATGGATGACTTCTCCGTTGGTGGAGGCACATATGAGAAGTGCCTAATGAATTTATCTCGTTGTTTAGAAAGGTGTGAGAGTGCCAACTTGGTGCTCAATTGGGAGAAATGCCACTTCATGGTGGAAAATGGCATTGTTCTTGGCCATAAAATCTCCCAAGCGGGCATCGAAGTTGATGGTGAAAAGGTTGATGTGATCGAGAAGCTTCCTCCTCCCACAAATGTGAGAGAAGTGAGGTCCTTCCTTGGTCATGCCGGCTTTTACCGCCGCTTCATCAAATATTTCTCTTTGATTGCTAAGCCTCTCACATCTCTCTTGCAACAAGATAAAGAATTTGTATTTGATGAAGCTTGTCATGAGTCATTTTGTAGGTTGAAAAGGGCTCTTTGCACTGCCCCCATTGTCCAAGGACCGAATTGGTCTCTACCATTCGAGCTAATGTGTGATGCGAGCGACGAGGCCATTGGATCTGTTCTAGGACAAAGAAAGGATGGGAAACTTCATGTTATATACTATTTGTCCAAGACCCTCAACGATGCTCAACAGAATTATACAACTACCGAGAAAGAGTTCTTGGCGGTTATTCATTCATTTGAGAAGTTTAGAACCTACCTCATTGGTTCTAGGACAATAGTGTATACCGATCACTCGGCTCTTAAATATTTGATAAGCAAGAAGGAGGCCAAACCGAGGTTGTTGAGATGGGTCTTGGTCCTCCAAGACTTTGATTACGAAATGAGAGATAAGAAGGGGGCCGAGAACGTGGTGGCGGACCACCTCTCTAGGTTGGGAGGTGCAAGAATACATGAAGACGGTTTACCAATTGAAGATGCCCTAATGGATGATGTCTTATATGCCCTTGAGGCAAAATCGGGGCCTTGGTATGCGGATATTGTGAACTACTTGGCTTGTAGTGCCATACCTCCGGATTTCACTCCTCAACAACACCGAAGGCTCAAGCATGAAGCAAGGAAGTATATATGGGATGACCCCATGTTGTTGAAGAGAGGGGTGGATGGACTTTTGAGAAGATGTGTTCCTAATGAAGAGTTCCAAGATGTGCTCTTAATGTGCCACTCATCCCCTTGTGGTGGTCATATGAGTGCTCAAAAGACCGCTTCCAAGGTTTTGCAATGCATGCTCTTTTGGCCCTCTCTATTCAAAGATGCTTGGCAATTTGTTAAGACTTGCGATAGGTGTCAAAGGACGGGGAACATATCAAGGCGTGATGAGATGCCCCAAAATCCGATTCTTGAACTAGAAATTTTTTATGTTTGGGCAGTTGACTTCATGGGCCCTTTCATCTCATCCCAAGGAAACCGGCACATTCTAGTTGCCGTTGATTATGTTTCCAAGTGGGCGGAAGCCGTGGCATCTCCCACCAACGACTCAAAGGTGGTCATTAATTTGTTCAAGAAATTCATCTTTCCAAGATTCGGTGTTCCTAAGGCAATCATAAGTGATGGAGGCTCACACTTCAAGCACCATACATTCAACAAGCTTCTTTCAAAGTATGGTGTATCGCACAAGCGAGGCCTTGCTTACCACCCCCAAACAAGTGGTCAAGCGGAGGTCACAAATAGGGAGTTGAAAGTCATCTTGGAGAAGACTGTTGCTAGAACAAGGAAGGATTGGTCTAGTAAGCTCATTGATTCATTGTGGGCATATAGGACCGCCTTCAAGACTCCTATAGGGACTACCCCCTATAAGCTTGTTTATGGGAAGAATTGCCATTTACCCGTAGATATGGAGCACCGAACGCATTGGGCAATCAAGCAAATCAACTTTGATCTCAACAGTGCGGGTGAGCAAAGACTTCTAGAGCTTCATGAGTTGGAAGAGTTGAGAATGAACACATATGACAGTGCAAGCCTCTACAAAGCAAGAACCAAGGCATGGCACGACGCTCAAATTTCCAAGAAGGAATTTGTGGAAGAACAAAAGGTCCTACTCTACAATTCAAGACTCAAGCTCTTCCCCGGGAAATTGAGGTCTAGATGGAGCGGTCCATTTCAAGTATCCAAAGTCTTTCCTTATGGCTCAGTTGAGGTATTCAATGACAAGTACCCTCCATTCAAAGTGAATGGGCACCGTCTCAAGCCATACTATGAGGTTCAACTAATTGAGAAGCCGGAAAATTTATCGCTCATTGATGTTTTCAAGTCACCATGATTCCGTGTGAAGTACGTCAAGCTAGTGACATTAAAGAAGCGCTTACGGGAGGCAACCCGGTTTCTAACCTCTTTGATTTTATTTTCTTTCAAATCGCTTTAGCTAATCCATCTAACACTTTTCCCAATCAATTTTGATGTAGGTGTGATTGCGTGTGCCCACGAGGAAAGAGAGACAAGAGTAAAGCAAAAATGAGGAATTTTGAGAAATTGTGCTCGAATGAATACTAAAGAGACAGAACCTCAGCGCGATTTGTTCGCGGCTGAAGCGTGATCCGCAAGAGCAGAAAGGCGCGGGCGCCCCTTGTTTAGTCGCGAGCGTGCCTGTTATATGAATGGTAATTGCTCCCATTCCAGAAAGTAGGAGCGATTTAAGCGCGATTAATAAGCGGCTCGCGTCAAAAAGTAGGCGCGGGCGCGCCTGTTTTAGAAGCGGGCGCGCCAGCTCTTTGGTCCTAAGACTCACCCAATTCCAGAGAATAGGAGCGATTTTATCGCGATTTGTGAATGGCCCGCGATGCCAAAGTGGCGCGGGCGCGCTTATACGGAGCGCGGGCGCGACAATAGCTTGGTCTGATTTCCAGGGAGTTGGAGCGATTTTATCGCGATTTAGGAGCGGGCCGCGTTCTCACTTAGGCGCGGGCGCGCCTACCTTGGAAGCGGGCGCGCCTTAGTCAGGAGCGGGCGCGCCATTCTGGGTTTCAGAAAAAAAATACGGTTCGTCTTTTATTTCCCCAATCTTCCCCAAACCCTCGCAAACACAACATCACCCTTCGCCCCCTTCGCGGCCGCTCCTCACCACCATACTCAAGATCATTTCTTCTTCCATCCTCTTCAATCAATCATCCTCAAGCTTCAATCATTCATCTTCTTCGTTTGTTCATCATCAAAGCAAGCAATTAGTCATCCTCAACACCAACCGCGACGAACTCGTTTGCTACTCAAAACCCTCAACAATTTGACACCAAAAACAGCAATTTTTTGCATAAGGGTAAAGGTATTCAATTTCCTTCGTTAATTACTCTCTTTTGATTAATTTTTAAGCAAGGATTTTGATTATTCTAGGTTATTAGCGAAATTTGGTTGATTATTGTTGAAATTACTGCTGGATTCTGTTGAAATTGTTGTTGTTGGTTATTATCTTAGGATATATTCGTTGTGTTGGTTGGGTTATTATTGCTTGTGAACATGTACATTGTAGTTTTGTGGAGGTTAAGGGTGGAAATAGCCGGAGTTGGCTTTGAAAAGGAGTGAAAAAAAAAAAAAAAAGGTGGGCAATCATGAGTCTAAGGATTGGGAAGAAGAGAAAAACTGCAAAGTCGGGACAATCGTCCCAAAACCTAGAGTCAGACCAACCCAATGCCTTACCCACCTTGAAATTCTTAAACAAAAGCCACTCCTCCATATACTCTGAGATGAAAAAACGTAAGTTGCGACCTTCTAGGCACTACCATCGTGGAGACATGATAAAACTCGGTATAGACGATGATTTGTGGATTCTTTTTGACAACCTTCGACTAGGGTCATTTGTAAACTCCTCATTCATGACCTACCAAGAACCCACATTAGAGTTTTTCTCGTCTTTTCAAGTGGATAGTCTAGAAAATAACGATTTTCGAATTTCTTTCCAACTCTTCAACAACCCCCACACCATGTCATTGGCAGAGTTCAACCGAGTCCTCGACTTTCACCCCTGATGCCGACATTCACTACCCTCTTTATGAGAGCTTTAGGGAGTATAGTGAGTACGCTTGGTGGCGTTCCATTTCAGGTAAAAATGAGTTTTACACCTGGACTTCCATAGCCAGTGAGATTTGGCACCCTGCCCTTAGGATCCTACACCGTTTACTAGGGTATTCTATCATTAGTAAACAGGACCTAGGAAAGCTGACTAAGGAAGAGGTCCTTTGCCTGTGGATAGCCACAAAGGGAGAGTATGCAAGGAGGTTGAATTTGGGTTTCCTCTTCATGCAAACATGCCAGGCCATAGCAAAAGAGAAAAAAGCCAGGGCATATACACTGCGGGGCGATGGTCACTAG